TATAAGAAAAAATATCTGCCAATGGGGTAAGAAAATAATCTTAATTGAAAGGCAAAACAAGATTATTTTTCTTTGCCTATTAGCAGATATTGTTTCTTGTTTTTAGCAAAAAATAACAACATTTACATTTTTTTTTTCTTCAGAAAACAAGTCATAATATCTTAAGTAATTTTGCTTCTCAAGTAAATGCATCTTGATTCAAGAATGTTTAGAAAGTAGTACTGGAAAATGACAAAATACTTAGAAAATCATTTGTTGTATTGTACAAAATGTAACCATGTTAAACCAAACGTGTCTGCAAACGATCTCTAGTTCTGCAAACAAAACTCCCTTCGTTTTTATAAAAGCCTTAAACTATTATTATTAACTTTCAGTTCTTGGTACCTTATTTTTTGTATTTGGCTATTTATCATGTCATTATACTGTAAACTTGATCTGTTGTTGTCAAAAATAATATTTGAATATATATACTGTACTTTTATTTAACTATCAACCTAACTGGGGGGTGTATTACTTGACTTAATAGAAATAATTCAACAAAAATATTTATAATAATTTATTAAGGAATAGTTCGTGCAAAAATGAAAATATTGTCATAATTTACTAATTTACAGAAAAAAATAGAATGAGTTAATGAGTAAATAATAAATAATATTTTGTTTTGATTAAACTATTCCTGTTAAAAATGTAACAACAACAACAAAAAATCTTCATATAATTCAAAATTTAAGATTTAAAGTATATTTTGTTGATTTGCATTCTAAAAGCAAAATTATGCTTTCATTTCAAAGCTGTTTGAACACAAAAGGAGACATTCTGAAGTAGTGATGAAAAGATCAGATAATTTTACTGACTTTCTCATTTGATACCGTTCATAAAAACAAACCCATATTGGTCACACTTTAGTTTAGTCGCTATTAAATAACAATTAACTACAACTTTTCCCTCAATAAACTCCTAATGTGCTGCTTATTAATAGTTAGTAAGATAAAAGTTACGTTTTGGTATGGGGTTGATTAAGGGATCTAGAATATACTCACGCAGAATAAGGCATTAATATGTGTTTTATAAGTACTAATAAATAGCCAATATTCTAGTAATATGCATGCTAATAAACAACTTGTTAATAGTGAGAACTGGTCCCTAAACTAAAGTGTTACCCTAATATTTATTCAAGTCATTTTGTTAATTTGAGTGCCGTTAGATGTTATATTTACAACAGCCAAATTCCCTGAACACATCCATCTTCACAATCTTCATCCTATTCCGAATTAGGATATCATTATAATGCAGCTGAAGATAATTCATGAGGAACTTAAATGATTACTTTACCTCCTGAGTCCTGTGTTTGTCACGTGACAGAAACAATGAGCAAATTGTTCATGATCACTTTTTTAATAACGCTGGAAACGCAATGTTTGCCAAGAGACTAAAGTCTGCCATCAGAAGTCAAAGATCTCTATAAGTGCTCAAGCATTTTTCATCCAATAAGGTATTTTTGGAGAAACATCTAAGAGAAAGTTAAGTTAAGGTAAGCTATTCTTGAATGTTATTTTAGAACTCCACCAGGAGCCCCAAGCTATGAAGAAGAATACAATTTTACTCTGTGTAAAAATGTGGTAAAATGAATGTTGGTTGAACTAATAGCCTTCTTGATTGGCTATATTAGACATTATGCAACACTGGCTCCGAGAAGTGGCATAAAGGTTGTGAAGTGTGAATGACCCACGCCTGTGATCCTCTTCTGAATGGAACATGATGTCCAAGTCGCCCCATTAGTGAGGTAAAGGACTAGTGATCCACATGTGGCCAAATCTAGGCCTACACTACCAGCAAATCAAAGAGATAAGACAAAACCAATAAGAAAAGCACTGCCAAAAGGGTCATAACTCTCTCATGCAACACGATATGCGGCGTCTAACTGTAAAATCTCTTCATTTCCTTCCCCCCATTCAGAGCGCTTTGAAGTCAACATTATAAAACAGTATGGGAAGTGCTGGACTGGAACATTTAAGCCCTTTTGATGCCAATACTTCCAATACGGTGCTTTGCGTCTTACGTAATTACTTATTGCAACAATGTCTAAAAGGGTCAAATTTATAAAAAAAAGACCATTCAAAGCAATAAAAAAAGTTTACAAGATATCTGAAATGGTGGCTCTTCCAAAATGTAGTGCTTTTGTAGACCTGTAGAAATGTAGACCTTGCTGAGTAGTCGTCAACTCACAATTGTTTGCTAAATGTTGCTAACAACTATTGCTAAGCTAACAATACAATACTCTTAAGCATTAAACATGCACACAACTATTAGTCCTTTATAATTATAGACTGAGCCATTAGTGATATTATAACTATATTCTTACAAATTCTCTTACTTTGTCCGCCATCTTGAATGGATTTTGAGTTTGGTGCAATGCATTCTGGGATTGCCTTCTCTGCTAAGGATACATGTTAGGCTTCCTTTGAATTTCTTAAAAGAAGGTATTTTAGTAGGCATCATAATTATGCTCCTCATTTTTAGGTATAGCCCTCACTTTTGGAGTGCACTAAAATTGCTGTCTACTTAGGGAGCTCAATAGATTTTGGTACAGAGCCAGTGTTTATCATGAACTTAATTGGCTGTTAGGTCCTTTGTGTTGCGTGAAATAATGGATCAAGGCTCGAATTATACAAGTTTCAACGTGATAAATAGGAGACATAATTATTTTGTAATATTTCGTGCCATCTTAATGTTTTAAATGAATGACTGTGTGCATAAGTGGCACAACCCATTGACATAATCCAGAATCTATTCACACTTATACAATCACACCAATACGTCCAGACAGGATAGTGTTGAGATGTGTCTCAGTATTATAAAGAACAAAACCCACGTGTGGCACTAAAGCAGGATCATCTTTGTTGAGGATAAATTGCCTGTGTACGCAAAGCCATTCATTTAATAATCCTCTCACATCAAATCTTTATTATTGTGTTGGGAATCTCTTAACTACTGCATTAGAGTTTTTGCTCTTTAATGTTTTTTTCAGTTACTTTCATTTTACACACATTCTTTATTAAGTTATTTGGTTAATGACTTTACAACAACACAATCTTTTCAGTTAGATGTTTCTTTATAAAAGATTGTCATATTGCAATCATATTCTAAATAAATGTGCTACATACACACTTCTCAACTGTCAACCCAACTAAATCACTACTGATAAAATTGGGAAGTGCTTCTATCGTCATTATATAAAAATACTGAAGAATGCTGTCGTCTTGATGGATTTATTTCTTACAAACACTCAGCTTTTCGCTTCTCCAGATGTTAATTGTTGGACTGGAGTGGTGTGGATTACTTGTGGATTATTGTGATGTTTTTATCAGCTGTTTGGACTCTCATTCTGACGGCACCCATTCACTGCAGAGCATCCATTGGTGAGCAAGTGATGCAATGCTACATTTCTCCAAATCTGATGAAGAAACAAACTCATCTACATCTTGGATGGCCTGAGGGTGAGCACATTTTCTGCTGGTTACATTCATTGGTGCAATTTGACCAAATAAATACATTTAAAAACAGTGTTAGGGTAATGCATCACAAGTAATGCGAGTTAAGTAATCAGATTACTTTTTTCAAGTAACTAGCAAAGTAACATTACTTTTTAATTTACAAAAAAAGAAAGTTACAAATATCCTTTAAGTATTTAATACCAATACATTAACCAATATTTTTGCTGCTGACCTTTGATGATCCAATTCAACCATTCTAATAAGCAAAAATGACTTTAGTTAAACATCACATTTGTGTTTCATTGCTAACGTAAGACTGTTGAACTTTCTTCTCTTGCATCCTAATGTTCTGCAATCCAGAATGGCAGCATGGGTTTGTTTGAGCTACGCCCTTTACTCATTTCACTTTTGATGTGAAAGCGCTTTTACATTTGCCAAAAATAGAACTTTTTATATTAAAAACAAAATAGCAAGCCCAGCCCAAATGAGAAAAAGTGACGCAAAAGTAATGTATCACATTACTTCCCATAAAAAGTAACTAAGTAATGCAATTAGTTACTTTTTTCGGGTGTAAAGCAATATTGCAATGCATTACATTTAAAAGTAACTTTCGTTATCTTTGTATCAGATGTTGTGCCCTTACACCTAAATTGTGCTAAATTGTCCATATTTAGTTTAACATTTTCAGATTTGTTCTTTCACTGAATACCTTGGTTCTGCACACACTTTAAAGTAGGTGGCGGTAGCTCAAAGAGCATAAACAACTGATCAGACTAGCCTCATTCTGACAAGATCCCTGATCAAAGTCAGCAGTCTATGTGACGCAGTTGATGGTTTTAATTGGGGTCAGACCCAGTACATGACCGATCTATCTATCCAAGCTGCAGTTGGATGGCTCTAGGAGGCCATTTTGAAGGCAACATGACAAGATGTCACAGCACAGTGGCAGACGGGTGTAACCAAGGTTACCAGAGAGTAACACAGAAATATTGTTATTAATATAATAACGTAATAACTACTTAAAAGAAGTATATTCATAAAATAAATATTAATTTTATACAAGCATATATTTTTATTTGGTTATTAATGTGACCAATAGTGATCAGTTTTGAACTTGAGATGGGCCAATGAGAGCGCAGAATGTGGCGCAGCGGAAAAATTGATTTCCGGGTTTTGCACGAGGTTTGCTCGTGGAATCAGAGGCAGCTCTCTCTATCGTGCACGGATGCCTGAGGAGCGCGGGGTTCGCTGACGCTCCGGGGAACAGAAACAAAGAAAATAATCTTCTAGATGAGTTTTATCGATGGATTGATGTGAGTGAAGTGACGCATTTTATTTTCCATTTGTTGTGAATGACATTGATATTATAATGTGAGTGAAACGGACATTTAACTTGTAAATATAAAAGTGTATGGTGATATACATATACTCTACTAGCGACAGAGTGTTGCTAAAGTGTTTACAGAGTGTATTTTTGATGAAAAAGGGTAAAGAAAAGGATTTAAAGGGGACGTGCTGTACCTGCACCATTCTGGAATTTTCTGAGTTTAACGATCTCCTTGGTAAGTCCATTTGCCTTGTTAATCGTTACCAATCAAATCGTTAGTATTGTGTAAGTGGATAAAGCAAGAGAAATTTAAAATTGTGAGTGATTTATGTATGAAAAAAATGTGTAATGCTGTATTTGGTACATAACAGTTAAATGTGTGCTCAAGTATGTGACGAAATGTGGTCAGTAATATATTAATTAGTGTGTTATGTTGGAAAAATAGTCACAGACATTGCATATATATAAAAAAAAACATTATTTATTTGAAAACTACATGTACGTATATTCAAAATACTCAAGAACTGTGTATATGAATGATGTATAGTGATTAATTTACTTTCATGAGTTAAGCACTTTATTGTATGTAGTTACAATGAAGATATTCATGATATTTTTGTGACCTTGTTTGTTCAAGGTCAGGTTTTTTTTTCCTTGTTGTTCTGTCCTTTTCCAAATTCGATTGCTGTCTGTCTGATGTGACGAGATGTTCCGGTACCTGCATTCTGGATTTGTCCCGGCCTTCCGGTGGTTCTGAGGAGGGTTTGGACTGGCGAGCCTCCCTTGAGTCTGTTCTTGGATTTTCTGTGGAAACAAAAGACAAGTTTTTCTGACCCTGTGAATGGTAGGAAATCGAATAACTTTTCTTTCTTTTTTTTCCCTCTTTCGGATGGAGACGTTTTTTCCTCATTGACAGAGAAAAGACATTTATATCTCTCTACGGACTATTTGAAGAACTGTTTTTCTTGAAAGACTGAGCAATTGAGGGTTTTGAAATCGAAGGACATTATTTTATTTCATTGAGAAGTGTTAATTTTCTGTTGTGGTGACAGCTGTGATACATACATTGGGTTTTTGATATTTGAATACTGATTGATCTAAAAAGAAAAAAATTGACAAAGGTAACCGGAGAAGACGGTCATATCGCCATACATTGTGAAAATGATCCAAATCCTGCCAAAGTAGAAAGCAAACAACGTCAGCTGAGGGAGAAACAGGCTCATTGGGACCTGAAAAATAGAGTTGCATCCCCACGGTTAAACTCCAATCAGTCTCTGTAGCAGGGCGTACAGAAACTGAGGAAAGACCCACATGCCCTAACAAACTTAGAGGAGTATTCAACAAGTGTTGTGAAGAAGTAATGCAGAGAAAATTACCAAGAGGATTGGTTGGAATGAAGTGTACTGCCCAGTTGTTTATTGAAGGAACTTCAGTGAATTGTTTGCTAGATACAGGTTCCCAAGTAACCACCATTCCACTTTCCTTTTACCACGATCATCTATCTAATCACCCTATGAAGTCACTTGAGTCTTTACTAGAAGTGGAGGGAGCAAATGGGCAGTCAGTTCCCTACTTAGGCTATGTAGAGCTCACTCTGACGTTTCCTAAGGTGTACTTGGGAGTAAAAGCAGAAGTTACCACATTAGCTGTAGTGGTCCCTGATTTGATGAACGTGCCCCAAGTCCTTGTGGGAACCAATTCCCTGGATGCTCTTTATGCAAACCATGCTCAAGAAAACCCAGGAAACCTCAACCCAGCTTTTAATGGATATCGAGCAGTACTCAAAATTCTGGATGTCAGAAACAAGCAAATGAGCACTGAAGTTCTGGGATGTGTAACGTTGAAGGGAATTACTCCTAAAATTGTGTCAGCGGGGAGTGTGGCTGTTCTTGATGGAGTTGTTCATCTAAGTCGCCGTTCTCCAGAAAGCTTGACAACACTAGGGCAGCCAGGAATGTCTTCTATGCCAGGCGGATTATTAGTGGCTAACGGACTATACACTTTGCCTGCTAAATGCTCTTATAGTTTACCTGTAGTGGTGAGAAATGACACCCAGACTGACATTGCTGTTCCACCAAAAGCTGTGATCGCTGAAATGTATGCAGTTCAGTGCGTGATTGAGACACAGCCAAGACATGATGCTCCTCAGACTCAATTGAACTCTGGCAGCTCACAGATAAAATTTGATTTTGGTAATTCCCCTTTACCAGCAGAGTGGAGGACCCGAATATCAGCTTTATTGAACACGATGCCTGAGGTGTTTGCCTTACATGACATGGATTATGGTCATACGGATAAAGTGAGACATCACATCAAACTTAGTGATGAAACTCCTTTTAAGCATCGAGCTAGGCCCATTCACCCACAGGATGTCGATGCTGTTCGCAAACACCTGCAAGACTTGTTGGCTGCTGGAATTATTAGAGAATCTGAGTCTGCCTTTGCCTCCCCTATAGTGGTGGTGAGGAAGAAGGATAATTCTAAATGTCTTTGCATCGACTTCAGAAAACTTAACTCACAAACTATAAAGGACGCCTATGCACTTCCCAACTTGGAAGAGGTGTTTTCCGTATTAAACGGCTCGAAGCGGTTCTCCGTTCTGAATTTGAAGTCGGGGTACTACCAAATCGAGATGGAGGAAGCGGATAAACACAAGACAGCCTTTGTGTGCCCACAAGGGTGGAATCAGAGGCAGCTCTCTCTATCGTGCACGGATGCCTGAGGAGCGCGGGGTTCGCTGACGCTCCGGGGAACAGAAACAAAGAAAATAATCTTCTAGATGAGTTTTATCGATGGATTGATGTGAGTGAAGTGACGCATTTTATTTTCCATTTGTTGTGAATGACATTGATATTATAATGTGAGTGAAACGGACATTTAACTTGTAAATATAAAAGTGTATGGTGATATACATATACTCTACTAGCGACAGAGTGTTGCTAAAGTGTTTACAGAGTGTATTTTTGATGAAAAAGGGTAAAGAAAAGGATTTAAAGGGGACGTGCTGTACCTGCACCATTCTGGAATTTTCTGAGTTTAACGATCTCCTTGGTAAGTCCATTTGCCTTGTTAATCGTTACCAATCAAATCGTTAGTATTGTGTAAGTGGATAAAGCAAGAGAAATTTAAAATTGTGAGTGATTTATGTATGAAAAAAATGTGTAATGCTGTATTTGGTACATAACAGTTAACTGTGTGCTCAAGTATGTGACGAAAAGTGGTCAGTAATATATTAATTAGTGTGTTATGTTGGAAAAATAGTCACAGACATTGCATATATAAAAAAAAACATTCTTTATTTGAAAAATACATGTACGTATATTCAAAATACTCAAGTTCTGTGTAATATGAATGATGTATAGTGATTAATTTACTTTCATGAGTTAAGCACTTTATTGTATGTAGTTACAATGAAGATATTCATGATATTTTTGTGACCTTGTTTGTTCAAGGTCAAGTTTTTTTTTTCCTTGTTGTTCTGTCCTTTTCCAAATTCGATTGCTGTCTGTCTGATGTGACGAGATGTTCCGGTACCTGCATTCTGGATTTGTCCCGGCCTTCCGGTGGTTCTGAGGAGGGTTTGGACTGGCGAGCCTCCCTTGAGTCTGTTCTTGGATTTTCTGTGGAAACAAAAGACAAGTTTTTCTGACCCTGTGAATGGTAGGAAATCGAATAACCTTTCTTTCTTTTTTTTCCCTCTTTCGGATTGGAGACGTTTTTTCCTCATTGACAGAGAAAAGACATTTATATCTCTCTACGGACTATTTGAAGAACTGTTTTTCTTGAAAGACTGAGCAATTGAGGGTTTTGAAATCGAAGGACATTATTTTATTTCATTGAGAAGTGTTAATTTTCTGTTGTGGTGACAGCTGTGATACATACATTGGGTTTTTGATATTTGAATACTGATTGATCTAAAAAGAAAAAAATTGACAAAGGTAACATAAGTGTTCATATTCAACCTTTATTTGGGTGAATCAACTACTGAGTTAAAGTGAACGAACAAAGAACTTACCTTGTTGAAAATTGAGGGAAAAGGTTCATGAAACCTGCTAAAACAAAAGAGTGACAAAATTTAGAAACAAGAATTTAATTTGTGAAAATATATATATTTTTTCCTTTCTGTTTTCATTGATTCACATTGATTCAACTTACCCGTTGAGTGCTGTTAAACCACAAATACACGTTGTGTGTTCGACCAAACCATTCGTTGAGTGTTCAGTGTTGTTGTTGCATCTTTCTCAGCAGCGACTCTAGTCTTCTGAGACGCTGGTCCATAGATTGGCATATAACAAGTTACTAATGAATCTACAAGTTATTAGCTAGATAGTAAGCGCTACACGTGTATCAAGACCACAGTGGGCCAGTAAGCTGAGTATTGATATTCAGCACTCGCAGCCATTCCTGCCAGATCAGATATTGCTCCAAAGCAAACTGACATGAAAAAAACGGGAACACTTGTCTTAAATTATAAGGAAATAATGGAGCAAAGCAATGGAGGGATGCATAAACAAACTGGCAGTAAATGGATGTATCCACTAACACTGTGTGGGAATTTCACTGGAAAGAACTAATAAGCAAGGACATTACAAACAAAGAAAAACAAAGGCCAAGATCCGCTCAGATCTCAGAGCTTTCACTGGGAATGTTCTTCTGAGAACAGGTGCTCAAAGGAAGCTTTAATCTTCTATCAAACCTTTGCAAATCTGACTCGGACTCAATGGGAGCTGTTAAAATAATGTTCCAGTGATGTAAGTGGTTTATGCAGTATGAAAAACGGGGTTGTGTAAATGCTACCTTATTTTATTCTAATTTGTGATTTCTGTCACAGTCCACCAGAATAGATGCCATATTTAATTTAACACAAATAAAAACAAGGCTGTGAAGGATAGACCAGATTATTGAGTAGGTTATACTGTTGGGTACCTTGGTGTCAATCGTTCGGTTTACAAAATGCTTAAATTACATTATTCCAGGGAAAAAAAAAAAAAGTATGAAATGATTAAAATACTATCTCATTAAAATACTATTTCCTGTCTCTGGGCCATCATGCAATTTTACTTCTTGAATGTTAGCATCTTGGCAAAATTAGCTAAATTGTCAATAAACTCTCACTCTTGCTGTTTGTAATAATTTTTAATGCTTTGGCAAATTATTGGCAAATTATCATGCTTTTTTTGTATGGTCTGCTTACACTCCACTGAGGGTTTGGTTTACAGTTGGCCCTTCAGGTTTAGTTGTTTTCTAAAAATGGTATGTTTTCACACAAATTGATATGATATTGCCAACTTAGTTACATTTTCTGATGTGATGTAGTTGGAATTGTTTACTCGCATCTAACAGCAAATTCATTTCTATGTTGAAAGCAGTAAATACTACTGTATGTAAAACTTGCTTGATTATCTATCTATCTATCTATCTATCTATCTCTCTCTCTCTCTCTATATATATAATAATTTTTTTTTTTTTTGTATATGTGTATATACTACCGGTCAAAAGTTTGATCATTCTAATATGCTGATTTATTATTAGAATTATCAATTTTGGCAACAGTTTTGCTGACAAATATTTTATTTTGGAAACTGCGATACTTTTTTCAGGATTCTTTGATGAATAAAACTTAAAAAGAACAGCATTTATTCAAAATATAAATCTTTTCTAACAATATAAATCTTTGCTATCACTTCTTAACAATTTAACACATCCTTGCTGAATAAAAGTTTTAATTTCTTTCCAAAAAAGAAAGAATAAAAATGTACTGAACCCAAACTTTTGAACGGTAGTGTATATTGTCAATGCTTTTCATATAGGAGATGCGCATTAAGCACTGACACGCAAACGGTTGCTGATTATGGTGTTTATTACCACGACAACAGTCCAAGTTGAACGTGCTTTTTGTGGAGATAAAAAGGAGATAAAAATATTATGCATCTGAAGCTGTAATTAAATATTGAGAAACAGTGTGTATTATATGTTTATAATTGTTTTAAATGCTGCTTACCAAGTAGAGGACACATACGCAGCTACTTTTTTGGTTGAAATAATCCTTAGCTGTGTATAATTGCCTTTTCATTATTTTTTCAGTTTTATTTAAATTTGTAGTTAAAATAAATAAAAATAAATGTATTTTAAAGTTTAGAATTAGACAGCCTTTGCACACAGGCTTACACTGATAACTCATCCGTAGACTTTCCTCATTAATATTGGCTATATTTTTTCACACTTTTCTCATTCTATATTTCTGACGTTCCAAAAGCACCTCCTACTGGCAGAGAATGACTGTTCATTTTCAATAATCCAGTCTGTAGTTTTTGTTCAGACCAATGTGAAAATCCACCCACATAACCCCGTTTTAAATTAATATAATAATTAATACTTCTGGCTCACCCCTGGTTTAAACGTTCAATTGTGAGGTTTATCATTTTATAATTTATTTTATTTTTGTGAAAACCTGTATCTCAACTGTAAATCAGTTGCTATTTCGTGGTCTACAACATGAAAGAAAGCCATTATAACATGTACATGAAACATGTAGAAACATTGGACACAACTATGGGGCACCACTGTGCAGCAGCAAGCATCACAACAAAAAAGGATCCTCAAGGTTGATCTAGGAAAATGTGTGCAAATGTATAGGGCCCCATTCCTATATTTTGCCTGGGGCACCCCAATTCACTAAATCCACCCCTGACTGTATTCTTTTGTCAACCAACATTTTCACTGTAAAATGATTACGGTGAAAACTACTATGAAAAATTTTTCAATTTTACTTTACAGATGTCCTTCACAATTTCATAACTATTAGCTACATACTGATATTTACTGTGTCCACAGAGTATCTTCAGCTTTTAATGACCTTTCGGACACCTTCCGACTTATAAGGTTGAAGTTCTATATGGTAATAATCAGACGTAATGAGCTTATGTAGTTATAAAGGAACAAAAATATGTTTGTCATCTGGCATCATTAGGTCACATTTCCAGCCACATCAAAGAAAAAGAAAAAACATCGGATTTTCTAATATATCTTGGCCAGTTTTATTTATATTTTTTTCATAGAAATACTTCGTCAATAATTCATTTCCTATTTCATATTTTGATTTCGACATAACACAATTATGTCCTTCTGTGGCACTGTTATCTTAATACCTCAGTTCCTGTGAAATGAGATGTCTTGCCAGATGTGGTTTTATTCAGGTTTATGTTTCAGCATGTAACTTTTCTATAAGCTTTTTATCAAACTTGAGCATGTTTTCAGAATTTACCTGTTCAGCCTAGTCTTAGCGGTATAAAAAACCTGAGGGTTTAAAAACGAAAGGTTGGCATGAGCCCAGCTGAACCTCAACAACATTTGATCATGTTGATTTTTAGGGAGGACCTGCTAATAAAGCATAAAACTTGCTTGTGCAATACTATTGCCATTGTCACTTTCAATTGATACTTGAACGCTTTAACATATTATTTCATCTTGTGAGCAGAAAATGCAGCTATGAGAGTTGTGCTATAACTTTCATGTTATAAACAGAAGAGCCTTAAAGGAGTAGTTCACCCAAAAATTAAAATTTGCAGAAAATGTGCTCAACCTCAGGCCAGCCAAGATGTAGATGAGTTTGTTTCTTCATCAGATTTGGAGAAATGTAGCATTGCATCACTTGCTCACCAATGGATCTTCTGCAGTGAATGGGTGCCGTCAGAATGAGAGTCCAAACAGCTGATAAAAACATCACAATAATCCACAAGTAATCCACACCACTCCAGTCCATCAGTTAACGGCTTGAAAAGATGTGTATTTGTAAGAAACAAATCCATCAAGGCGTTTTTTACTTCACACCATTGCTTTCAGCTAAAATACAAGTCCATAATCCATAATAATGCTTCCTCCACTAAAAAGGGCCATCTCTTGTTGTCCCTCACATCAAAATCCACCCACATATTTGTTTAGAGCTGTTTTGGCTCATAAACACTGCTTGATCTGTGCAGATTTCTCTCCTGATTCAGACCAGATGACTTTTAACTGGAGAAAGCAATTTTATGGATAGAAGACTTGTCTGAAGTTAAAACATCTTAATGATGGATTTGTTTCTTACAAATACGCAGCTTTTGTCTTCTCCAAATGTTAATTGATGGACTGGAGTGGCGTGGATTACTTGTGGATTATTGTGATGTTTTTATCAGCTGTTTGGACTCTCATTCTGACGGCACCCATTCACTGCAGAGCATCCATTGCTGAGACACTGATGCAATGCTACATTTCTCCAAATCTGATGAAGATACAAACTCATCTACATCTCATCTACATATTTTCAGTAAATGTTCAGCAAATTTTCATTTTTGGGTCAATTATTCCTTTATGCACACTTCTTTTTCATGAGGGTTGCTATATTACAAGTCTTCAAATGCAACTAAAAGGCACAGAATATAAAATAATTGCAAAGCATTTTTCAAACCCATTACAATGCTAAATTTTCATCATTACTTGAAAAACACCTGAACAATTTAAAGATATACTTCACCCCAAAAAATCATAGTCTGTATCAATTGTATGGAACACAGTGTCTTCAACACATTTGAGTGAACTATTCATTTCTTAGCCTCCAAATAGAAAATACACAATCAATGTGGTACAATATTTCAGAGGCATGAATTGTTTCATTTACAAATATTGTCTTGTATATTTGGAATTGTTGTTAATAGGCCCATAAGAGCAGTGATGTAGACGCATTAATGGCATTGTAATCTTTAAGATTAAACAGGCTTTTAATAACCACAACACTTTCCGATAACACATTAGCAATTGCCATTAAGTTCCTCCTTTCCCACGCACCGACCCCTGCAGGTACTCGCTTGACAAGAAGCAGCCTGTCCAGGAGCGTTAACTCCAGAGAAACTGTGATTATGACGCATATACAGCTTTGTATTTGTATGTTCTGGTTCTTTATTTGTACGGTGTGAGGTCTTTGAAATGCGCTTTGTCATTGTGCATGTTTGAAGTCCGCTTGTTTTAGCGACGACTAAAAATGCCAAGCTCAATTTTTCTCTGAATCAAGCAACCTAAAGCATGCGTCGACTGAGCAAATAAACACTCTCAGCAAATACAGTGAGAATCAATTATAAGTATTTTAAAAGTCACGCCAGTGATCGCTACTCTGCGTTTGATTGGAAAAGCTTTCTTCATTTATGGAAGACCGATCTATTCCGTCTTTTATTATGTGCAGTAAAAGATTTAGACAGTGAAAACGCAT